ATAAGTATTCAACTGTATATGAATGTTCTATATATACAAAATATATTAGTCTCAAATACCTATGTACATTCAATTAAGTTTTTAACGAATGTTATCAAATTAGTTAATACGTCTACAATAAACGAATATAGCAACCAATATTATGACGGTTTGTTTTAAATTTCGAATATTCGCATTTGAAGGAAATTATTTCATTTATTCATTTTTGACGTACACCATATTTACTACTTCGCGTTTGCTTCCGTAAATGAAAGATATACATATGTATGCATATGAGTGAGCAGCTGAATTTTAAGAAAATAAGCATTCTAGTTTTAGAATATGAAAAGCTACTAAAATTTTTACATTTTTTTAGAAACTGAAAAAATACTATAAAAATCACAAACTTCTACTTTTTTTAATATAGTGTGTATGTCTTATGTATTTAACGATAGCATAAATAAGCACGTATGTCAATCAACTTTTATATGTATGTACTTAGAGACATTTATAATTATAACGCGTTAGTATATTTTCATTATAATATATTTATGTGTTTTTACTCAATACCATTTCAAATAGTTAACAATTCAGTTGTGATCTCGTAAATAGTAAAAATATTGCAATTTATTGCAAATTGATGCAAAGACACAAAGCAGTCATTTAACAAGCGTGTTTTAGTATGATAATAGTGGCTCGCTAAAATTATCACTCATCTGCTCCAGCACTGCTTCCAACAACATTGGGCTCCTGTTTGTCTTGCGGTTGTTGCGTACTTAAGCCAGCACTTTCTTGTTCATTGACAACAAACTGTTGTTTAAGTTCCACATTGGGTAATGAATTCTGTTGTTGCTGCTCCAATTTTCGTTTCTTCTTTGCCTGAATATCAGCTAAAGTTTGTTCAATCGAACGCATATCCTTTTTGTTTTTGCTGGGCACGAAACCATAACTCAGGTTAGTTTCTGTTTTACGCGCAGCCTCTAAGGCAGCATCTTGTCCAATAAGATGAGCGTATTTATCTTTATAGTTGGTCGCTGGTTTAATGTCACACTCTGTAGTAGGTGGTAGTTGGGTGGAAGCACGTGCCAGTCTTTTTTGTTCACTTTCCAATTCGCGTTGTTGTTTTCGTATTTCAGCATATTCTTTGGCAATTTCTTCATTCCAACCGTCACCGTTGCGGCGAGCTGCTATTTCATCTTCCGATGGTGCATTTTCTTTTTTATAAACAACTGAATGGCGGTCGATATCTTCGCGACCAAAACTCATTGCTATAAAGCCACCGAATTCTGCTACCTCATGAATAATGGCACGGTGCACTTTATCCAGCGGTTGAAACTCAATATGAGGGCGATCGTCCTTGGCAAATCGTCCTATACGATCCTCAACATATTTGCGAAATCGATTTAGTTCTTCTTTCTGTTTGTTTTTCATTCGTTCAGCAAGCTCTTTTTGTTTTTTGATCATTTTTTTCTGTTGCTCTGTGGCTGCGGGAGGTTTTTCCATTGAATTGAGTATTGAATTCAGCAAATCCATGGCGGGTTTTAAGGGCAGAGTATTTTAGTAAAATAAATAAAACTATTTTATTTGTTTTGCGTTGAACTATGCGCAATTTTAGTCGTATTAATAGGTTTTCCCTATTTGTTTTTTCTGTTGTCCAACTTCACCCAGCTGCTGCTTTGAATTTTTCTCATTCGTTGTTTTTTTTCTATTCTTTCTATCAAGTGCGTGGGGTTCTGACAGCTGTTCGATTGAGATGGTAAAAGTAAACGATTTACACAATAGACGTTTTATTTCTTATTATCGTTTAGCTATCATCTCTATGAAAGATTAACGGTTAAGACCAGGAAGTGGGTATATTTGTTATGTTTTGAGGCTAGTTTCACAAGAGGAAAATCATATAAACACTTTCAAAGATTTAAGAATATATTTCCGTATTAGGATTACTTAATTCCGAATAGAAATTGGAAAATTAAATATGCCGCTATTGCAATTGTCCTTTTGTGTGATATTGGTATGACCGGCTTTGAGAATTCAAGCCACAGAATATTTCACAAGTTCTGTGCAATCCAATATAAAATATATATTTGAAAAAAGATTTTGATATTATTTTATTTGGTTTGGTAGAAAGAAAATATTTATGTATGTTACAATAAAATTATTTAAAATGCACCCAGCAAATGGCTTATTATTACTTATAAAAATACATTGTATTTGTAATAGTTTAAATTTTAACTGAACTGTATATATTCATAATCTAAAATAAGTATAGTTTACTGTTTTCTCAAGAGTGTCAGTTCTTTGGCTTTTTCCATATATCGACGTGGACGTAAATATTCCAAAAATAATAGTATAACATGGGCCATAGATATCACCAAAAGGAATGGCCAGACTTTACTGCGCAGATAACCGTAAAGTAATTCCCCAAGTGATTTCTCAGATTCGGCTAAAATACGCTTATATACTTTTTCGGTACGTTGTGTAACATTGTCCCAATTGTATAACGTTGACACAATTTCGTTACATCTATATGGACAAAGAACGGCATCGTCTTCATGGTTTTCGAAATCTCCAATACTTTTTGGTTCTTTTTGTTTATTTAAGTTTGAATTTGTATATTTTTTATTATTCTTCCGTTTATTTGTTTTTGTAGTTGAACTTGTGCCATTGCCGATCGAAACGCCATTACTATAAAACATGCCACTTTTTTCAATACTGGTTTCGACTGGGTATATCTTTTGTTTTTTACAAAACTGTGTGTAGCGCGCAAGAGCTTTGAGTACTCCTTGGTAAACAGAATCAATTTCAGGATCCGTAAGTATGATTAAATTTGATGGCAATACTTCGGGAATACCACCCACACGGGTGGACACTACTTGTAGACCACATGAAGCTGCTTCTACTATAGCCATGCAATACGCTTCAGTAAGCGATGTATTTACAAAAATATGCCCACGTACAAGAATGTCGCGAACTTGAGAATGTTCTACTGCTCCTATTAATTCAACGCGATCTTGCATATTGGCCTTTTCTCGTATCTCTTCGAGTAGATCCCGTTTTGGTCCATCGCCTACTATAATAAAATTTACATTAGGCGTGTGTCTAAAACGTGGAATGACACCGGCTAACAAATCGATTCCCTTACGGTAAACAAGACGCGAGGCAACGACAATGTTAACTAAATTGAAATAAAAAAAATCAGTTATGTGCATGTGCAATTTCAATAAATGAAAATTAAGCACTTACTTGTACCGTCTGTAGGTCGTTTACTTGGATTTGGTGTAAATAAGGCAGTGTCGACAGCATTTGGTATGACAGAAACATTTTCTTTCGGTATGCGTGCACGCAACACAGTATTCTCTTTACCTGTATATTTGGGAAATGTTTGTCTTTGACGCATCAATATATATACATATAGAATATATATCCACTCACCAATATGAGAGACACAGATGCAGTGATTTACATTTGCCAAATTAATCTGCAACATTTTATTAGTAAAAACGGCCGATAAATCAGCAAAGCCAAAAAGGCTATGATCCGTGAAAACTGTCTGCAGGGAATAACAAAATTTGTAGAATCGCATTGGTTGTTGACTATTATAACTTACCCTTAAACCTAGCATGTTACCTATAATCATTGCTTCATGTGCCAATGTGCTAAATGCAGAGTGCCCATGTACAACTTCTATGCTTTCTCTTAGTAGCACACACCGTATTAGAGGTATTTGACATAGTATTGTTGGCAGTATGCATTGATTGTAAAATGGCTTAATTGGTAAATAATAAACTTTTAAACCATTTGTTAAGTAACGAATGCCTTTGCAATTGCCATACGAGTGTGTTAATATAATGACCTGGATATAAAAAGGTGAAGGTTAAGTTTAAAATACTTATTAAGAATCGTACGATTATGACTCACTTTATGTCCGTGGGTTAATAAAATTTGAGATAAATTGAAAACATGTTCCTCTACACCGCCTATACTTGGATAAAAGAAATCCGTGACCATACTGTAAAAGTCCAAAAATTTTATACTTTTTTTTCAATATATCATATTTCGTTAATTACCATATTCGCATTATATCTAAACCATTTGTTTACTACACTGCATTAGAAAATAAGAACTTGAAATCAGCTGTTTAATGTATGATTCTATGAAGGTAAACAGTTTCTTGACGTTTAATTTTCACAGAGTGCCGTTCAATTAAAATTAAATTTCTAAATAAATTGCTTAAAATATTTGCCAAAGCAAAGAAGCATTAACTCATTTGAATGGATTGAATGTTTAGCAAATGCTAGAGTAAAAGGATTTTAATCTCAGCTGGATTTTTAATTATTTAAATTATTTTAATTTAATATAGAAATTCTTTTACTTCTAACTCACCCTATTAAAAATTGATAAGAAAGGGAGAAAGTGCACGCACTATTTATGAGCATTTATGCATCTCACTTTGATTCTGCTGTTTTTACCGGCATCATTCAAGATGAGTGAAACGAAACGAACTATACATTTTTAAAGCTTTGACAAATGCTTTAGAGTAAATGAAAAAGATACATATATAATTGATTCTATTACAAGTCTCTACTACAGGGTTGCAAGTTTTTAGTGTGTTCACGCTTAACATAACTTGTTCATCGAATTTACGCATATTACAAAAATTAAGAATAACACATCTTTCAAATGACTATATAACCGTCTCATAATTATGTAATCATAGCATGCTATGCTGTAAAAATATATAAAATTGAACTCACGTGCGTTTACCGTGTTTTTTTATTGTCGCAATGGCAAGCCTGTATTAAACGGAAAGTACTAAGTTTGGAAGGCAGGCATTTTGCAATCCCACAATGTACTCTAGTACTTTCATTCAACACACACAGAATTTTTCTAAGTTCCATTTTGTGTGGCGACGCGAGACTTTGAAAAATTTTCATAGCACTTTTGCCTTTACCGTGTGGCTCGTTGCTTTTACATTTCATCTCGTGTTAAGTGGCTGAAATAAGTATTTTTTAGCTGCTAATCGAAGCAGAGAAGTGTGTGCGTGGAATTTCCGAATTTTCGTGTGAATTTTCGTAGTCGAGACTGTAAAAATGAGCGTGGATGTGGCACCCGAAAATGTAAGTAGTAATTATGGTAACGGTGAAATTTTATGTAATTTTTCAGATATTCCTAAAAAACTACCTATAACGATTTTTACAAAATAATATGTTAAAAAAGAAGTGTATACTAAAACTGAAATATAGATGCATTTTTAGAGCCATTATGGCAAATCTGTCAGCAATATTTAAATGTACATTTCCTTTGTTTAAGTAGTAATTGTCTGTGCGATTTGTCGGGCCCCAACGCGATCGCCTTGAAATGAAAACGTCAAGTTTTTCGTGAAAATGGCGACAAGTCCCCAACAGCATACATGGACAAAATGCAACACAACGGGCAAAATCAGCAAAAACACCAACAAACAGAATAATACTTGCTGTATTACCTGCGTTCCGAAGTAGTTGCAGTGCAAAATTCATATTAAATCTGTGATTTGGCAAATTTTGGCCCAAAAAATCTTAACTGTCCATCCTTGTTGGGTTTAGATTTATGTACGATGGTAATTATTTAGATGCGATACATTGTGTTTACCATGTATAAGCTCCAGTATTAGTTTGCAGTATGTTTTTTTTTTTTATATCAAATATGCTGATGTGATGAGCTTTCTGGCTGGCTGCAACAGGGAAAGTCAAAGATGGAAGTAGCGTAACAAACGCAACACTAAGTACAAGTAATACTGTGAATACGAGTCGGTAGAGCGAGCGAGTGAGCCGCTCAACATGTAATGTTTTCGTAGATATTGTCGTGGTTGCTCGGTGGCAGCGTAAATTTTTCAAAGTCTTTTCTGGAACATCGTAGTATTAAATATGACGGTGACTGTGGCACTAATCCACGGGCTGATAATAGCGAATTCTTTTAATAAAATTTTCATAGCCGTTGATATCCTATGCGAAAACAAAAATATATTATTTAGGAATTTTTTTTTTTATTAATTTCATAGGAAGTTAGGATAATGTTTAATGATTTAAATTTTATTTGTTTATCTAATCTTTGGTAAAGTAAGATTTATTTTGTTAGTATATTGAAAAATTAGATACCTATTTGTATTATGTATGCAATAGTAACAAAGAACAAGTTATTATCTTATTAGAGTATCAAGAAAATGCAGTACAAAATTGTATTGCTTGATTAATATATATTATATTAAAAATAAGAAGCGTTAAAAACTAACCACCACAACAACAACCACCATCTTGCATCCCTTGATTTATGAGTTGGCTTCAGAATTAAATTTTCCAAGCACCAATTTTCTTTGTATTTTCCTTCATATTCGTTTTCATTCATTCACTTTGAAAATTTGCATTCCGTTTTTATTGACTTGCTTTTGGTATATTGTTTATATTTACTTCGTTTGCATCTGTACAGCTATATAAACACATGCACAAATGAATATGTGCAGGTGAAGTACTTTTGTTCCAAAGAGTGTCTTCAATTCTTTATAATCAGAGATTTTTACAGACACAAATATATGTATATGTTCGTACATACATGTTCATGTGGATATAAGTAAAGTTGAACATATGCTTTAACTTGTTTTCATTTCGGATTCGTTTCTCTTAAAACTTGCACTCTGTAGAATTTGGTTGACTTAATAATTTTTAGATGTTGTGCTAATATTCATGTTATTCCAGTTTCTGACGAAACAATGCCAAAATCCATGTTTTAATGAGAGTAAGTATTGACTTTCGTCTCCTTTTGTTTAAAGTCAAGTAAATGCGACAACTGCATTTATCAAATCAAATAAAAAAGAAACAAGGAAAGGAAACCCTTCACAGGTTCAAGTTTTCTTATAAAAGCTTTTTATGGCAGTTACATATTGCATTGATCCGATCTGAACCAATTCTTGCCAAATTTTGTGTAGATACCTTTCAAATAAAAAAGTTTTGCATACAAGAACTTGATTTTGATCGTTCATTTTGTAGAGCAGCTAAATATATATTATAGTAATCCGATATCGGACAAATGAGCGGATTTTTGGAGAGAAAAGGAGGTGTCCATTTAAGATCGATATCTACAGGGAGATATACAGACGGATATGGCTGAACCGGCTCAGCTCGTTATGCTGATCATTTATGCATATAATTAATAATGCCTCAGGCGTTTCGTTCTGGGTGTTACAAACATAGCTGTAAATTTAGTATACTTTGTACAGGGTATAAACATGTGCACACTTATATGTACGTAAATACGTAGAAACATATTTGTATCTACATTGAGCTAAAAATCTTGTAGGTTATTCGCCTCTTCTCTTTTTTGTGAGCATTCATTTTTTGTTTCAATATTTCTTTTTCTCTTTGTTACCTGCCACTGTCGTAGTTGAATGGGCTCCAGGTTGTGATCTGTTGCTGAGCTGATCAACAGCATTACGAACCTAATACATATTAGTGTGAAAATAAAATAATGCCTTTATCATATGTATGTGTGTGTTTTTGCTTTCACTGTTGCAGATTCTTATTTGATTGTATTGTAGTGTTTTGAAGTACATACATATATTTATAAGTTAGAAGCCGTAATCATTAGTAATATATAAGTATAAATATATATATACATTTACACTTAGTGCATCTTTCTACACATGTATCTCTTTATCACGAAGCTTGGTGACGCACCCTCAATAAGGACAACATTATTTGATAAATGTGTTAAGATCTTTTGAAGATCTCATTCGTCAATGCAAGAATACAGTACTTAGAAATAGATCAACATGTCGGAAATTTCTTTTATAGATACATATGTACCCACATATCGATTTATATATATATTGCCCTAAAAATCGTTCATTAACATTGCATGTGTTATCCCAGGGGCACCGTGTACATCCCAAAAAAAGGTAATTTTTTGGTTATTACTTTCAAGTGTGAGCGGTAAGCAGCAATACCCGAAAGCTATATCTACCGAAGCACACATTGCAAACGATAATATATTTATTATATACATACATGCATGAAATTCATCTACTTCACGCTGTGCTTTTATTTGTAATTAGTATAGGTACTGCTTACATCTATGTAGTTACTATAATATACATATGTATATAAATCTATTCGATTTACCATATAGTATTAGGAAGAATTAAAATTTCTTATATAATTATAAAATAATGACCTATATTAACTATATCGAAATATTAAGGCTACTTATAGGGGAATGGCAATGTCAAAGACACTTAAGGCGTGGACTATATTTTTATATTTTGCTAGTTTAATTTATGCATAATATCCAAGAGCGTAAAAGTCGTCACGTCACATTGTTGTGAAATGTGTGTGAACGGAGGTGTGCACAACGTGTTTGTTGACTGATGCAAATAATTCAATTTTCTTTAATTTTTTCACATACAAACATACGTAAACTTTAGATGTTGTCGTGTACGTTCATATATTGATTAATAGTCAGCTGAATGGAATTACCTTTGTCTAATATTTAATCACCTCTTTGATTTTTTATTGTTTTCAATAGACTTGGCGAATTAGTTTGAATTTTTGAGTGTAAATAAGACAGCTCTATAATAGCCGGCAATTCTGCCTAATAATTGAGGGCAATATGTAACACGTGGTCAATTCTCTCACATGTTTTGGCAATTGTTATGGTTCTACAACTAAAGTTGACATAGGGGACACAAATAACAAAAGATAATTGCTCTAACCTTACAATATTGTTTTTAGAAACTTGTTTTATGTTGATTAGAGTTAACTGTGCAAATAGATTATTGTTTTGTATGTGAATTACTAATAGCGGGACAGGCGTAAGAAAATATACATACATATGTTTTTTTATTCCTCAATATAGTGACTTATCAATTACTAAATAAAATAAAATTTTTTAATCATACGTTTATAAATATATAATTATAATCAATATATATTATACATTATATAAATATTAATTTTTTAGGACATCAAGACTCAGAATGGGTCATCCGAACTTGTGCAAGTGAATGGCGTCAGTAATGGTCATCACAGTGGTAGCAGCAGTAGTAAACATAAATCCTCTAGTAAGGATAAACATCGTGATCGCGATCGTGATCATAAGAGTTCAAGCTCAAGTTCAAAGGATCACAAGAGCAGCAGTCGGTAAGGCAACTAGTGCTACCTT